ATTTTCCTAATTATGGGTCGATTGGAACCAACTCGGCACGTGGATAGAGGTACCCGAATGGAGTCCTCAGACGGACAAACGGTCATTTTAATATGAAAGTGAATCAAATAATTTAAGCACGTGAATTTTTAATTTATTACTTTTCCAACATTTTAAACTACACTTTTTCAAACATGTGCTTCAAATCCTTCAATTTAACAGCTGTTAGTAAAAAGTTTCACTTCAAATATGCGCACATAGTGGATAATTTTTTTTCTAAGTTGGTATTTTTCTACTTTGTAGTGGAAATGAATGTCCAAGAGGATATTGACGTAATAACGCACGGAAAACCAGAATCAAACATTAAATTTTCTACAACACAGTAATAACTCATTCGTTTACTGCACTCACAAGTTTTAAATTGCTACTGTAATTTTTAGGTTATGAATGTGATATTAGCTACCCAATTAACATATAATTTACTAATTTAGGTCAGTAAAAGTTCAAAAATCCATTAGTTAACCTAAAAAATAACTAACTAATACCAGTTAACACCGAGTAAATTTATAAAATATCTTTTAAAAAATTGAATTATAAAAATACACAAACTGTATGCATTATTTCATCTGCCTGACATTTCTTAGCAATGTTTGTACCTTCAATATGGCCATAAGTTATGCAAACTCAAATTCAAAATTTGACTTAAATCACAGAGCAATATTGATTAACCTAAGTTGATTTAAAGTTGTAAATCTTGTACCAAAATCAACAAAAATCAGCAAACAATGGCATTAAAAGGCATATATAATTTTGCTAACAAGAGAAAAAAGTCAGCGGCGCACATCTCTTTTTTTAGAAAAATGTTCTAATGATAACCCCTATGCACGTCCCTGGTGAATCTGTTGATACTTCTTTAGCATTAGTAACTTAAACCCTCAACATTTTATTCGTATCACTGAAAGCATTTAAAAATCACAAAAAATTACAATAAATCGAAAAAAATAAGACTTTAATCCCCTGTAGCTACGAAACAAAGCAGAATCGGACATATTATGTTGATATAGAAAATAAATCTTATTTTTACGTGCGGAATCTCCGCACCAGATATAATACACGTGTTTTTGAGACACCCTGTATGAAAAAACTGAATAAATGTGGTTTTGCACTTAAATTTAAGATTTTAGGATCTAAGGAATCAATTTAAAAAAATGCAACTTATATCAAAATTAGAGAGTCCAATGTTTTTCTTTGTTTTCTTGGAAAATTAAAATATGGTGAAGTGAAATTAAAATATAGTCTTACTAAGTACCAAATATTTACCGAGATTACTATTATTATATTACTAAATACTCTGTACAGGACATAAAAGATCACCGTTTGAACGGAATCGCCCGTACAGCGACTGAATGTCTCGTGAGTCAGAAACCTTGGACGTGCCAAGCCAACAACCTAAACCCGTAGAAAAGTTTTTCGAACAGCTGATTGTTTGTCAACGCCAACAACTGACATTTCAGTTCGCCGACAGCGTGAAAAATAATTCTTCGCTGCGGAACGGTGGCCACGATTGTTTGTTTGATCGTGGAAAAATTGGAAAAACGATTCAGACGATAGAGAAAAACAGTATGTGACTTTCTGTTCGAACTAAACTAATGCTTTTAAAAGAAGCGCAAGAAATATTATACATTCTTCTATTGAATACTAGATAGTCTTTTTGGGGAAGTAGTATGCAATTAAAATTATTATTAGGTATTTATATTTTGTTTTGTACAGGCATTAATGTTATTTCTGCAAAAAAAGTGCTGTGTGCTCCGCATTTCAGTGGCTAGATATCCAGCTTTTTTCGATCATACGAACACAGAGTTCGTCAAATTCTTACTTGTTCTACCTAAAATACCTATTTTATTTACTATCATTAAGACAATTTTAATATGTATTACTCTGCAAACTTTGGCTTTACATTTCAGATATTAAATCATGAAATCAAATTAGAAAAAGTAATATATTCGTATTAGAAAAAGTAATATATTTTTATTAAAAAAGTAATTTACAGGAGCAATATTTCAATGTATAATTACATATAATCAACCGTTGAGAAAAAAATAATGAGTATATCAAAATAAATGTACTTTTATCCATAATTTAATATCTTCATCTTCCCACGAATTTTTAATCACACACACGTTTTAGTCTCAGTTTTAAAACAAATGTAGTAATAAATTATTGGTTCTTGCATTAATTTTAAAGTTTATGATCGGCATGGTAAAGTTAATATTGGATTTGGATACAAAAAATAATAATTTTGGAAAAATACTATCTCCACGCCCGAATTCAAATTTTCGCTTGTAAATTAAATTCGCTACACAAATCGAAAGAAAACAACCAAAAACACTGCGTTGGTGGACCAAATTATAGCATAACGGGTATTGTACGGTATCAAAAACGTCGAGTCATCGTACTGTTCGATCCCCGAAATACGAACGTAAGCGAAAATTATCACCAAAGTGTCACTCATTGGTTAAAAGTACTTTTACCGCAAAAAGTGCGATATATCATTCGAAATAACTGCTTTCTATAAATACATTTTTGGGTAACTGTAAAATTTATTCGTCGATATTTGAAAACAAGTTAATAACAAAAATTAAGTAGAACAATATTAATAATAATTAATATTGTTCTACTTAATTTTATCAGAACACAACAGCAACAGGTTTTGAATTGTTTCTATAAATATCGTCAAGTATTGTCATCTGACAAGTATGTTCTTCCTTATAAGAGGATATTAGGTAGGATATACTTTTTTTAAATAATGGGTTAAAAGAAGTAAAAAATCACTGCTGTATTAATGAAATCATTCAATCAATCTTCAAAGATTTATAACCTTCTATTTTTTTAAATACGTATATTTGTTAAAATAAATCTGAATTTAGTCAAAGGTAGAAATATAATAATACCTTGCATACTAACTCTCAATTAGGTTATCGATGGCGTCCTTTATTTCATCTCGAATTTAAATCTTTTATATCCAGTACATTTATATTTCTTGATCACTTTTGCACGAGACTAATTTTGCTTAAAAAATATATTTTAAAATTTTTATAATAAATTTTGTGGCGTTAGGTCTCTTCAAGACTAATTCTGGATTTTTTCATCCACTCATATTTTGTAGCGTCTATTTTCTAGGTTTATAACTTTTTTAAAAATCTTGTTACCACTGTCATAAATAATTTATTTTACTGTTATCGAATAGTTACGGGAACGACACATACAAATAATTATAAAATATTAGTTATAGAATTCTAAGAAATAATGTAAATCACACTTGTATCTCCTTTGCTCGAAAAAAAAACTATTCTTTATCATTTTGAAGGGATTATTGTATTAAATCTACATTAGATGATAAACGAAAAATAATCACTATAAAGCGAGTCATTTCTAAAATAAACCTGTGGGATTCACGGGATATATTTTTGTTATATTCATATAACCACACCAGAAAAAAATTAAAGGTCGTTATCCTTTACACTTAATTCTGGATTATTTCCCAAAAATCGAATACACGATTTTTCGTTTATTTTAACTGATTCATCAAATATATTTAATTCCTTATCCGATTTAATCAACTTGAACATATCGTTTATTTACACCAACTTTTTATCAAGGTGAAATGAAGGTAACTACGATATCGTGTTTGTGTCACGTTATGGACAAATTTCAAAAATTCCCTCAATAGCATTTTACTATTTCTTTTCCAAAAACCTGATTTAATGATATGCAACTGGGGCATAGGTATTTTTTATTCGTTTTTTATGTTTAGATAAATAAAGTTAGTTATTTGTGATAAGTTCGATATGCTCGTCATATTCTCCAAAATTATTCCATTCCTGAATAAACGTACCTATTCTAAATTTTATTGGTTTATAAAATAGACAGGAAGATTTGCCAGATACTAAAAACCTCAATAACGATAGCGTTTGCAGTTTGTTGTTGCGACCGTGACCTTCAGAACCGTTTACAAAATTTTATTGGAACTGTTTCCGTGTCTATTTCTGATTAATGCAAATCGGCATTTTTTTAAGTAACACTCAGACTATCAGCATATTTTTTGAATTAATGCAACAAGTTAGATATTCACATTTAGTTAATTTTTCCGAAAAACTCTCCAAATTTCACCAGTTTGTTCAAATCATAACAATAATATGATTTAGAAAAACACCACCTAGATTAACGGAACACTCATTTGACACATTTTCCCGTTTTAATTGAAAAAATGACTTAAAGTTATTATTTAAGATCAGAATCTTTTTATTAGTATTCAAAATAATCAGAATATATTTTTGAAGCCAATGCAACAAGTTAACTTTATTTATTTAATTTTTTTCAGAAAAAAAGAACTTCCAATATTATTTTAAAAATACCATGATGTATTTTAACACACTCATTAGCTTTAATTATTTCCAACTTTACACAATTTAAAAGTTTTTGAAATTTTTTTATAAACATAAAATATTTTTTGAATTGATGTTAGTGGACTATGCTTCAGAAATTATGAAAAAATATCAACAAGGTGTAGAATAATTGTAGAAATTGAAAATAATTCTTCTTCTGAGCAAAACGATTTTTAAAAATTGTGTACGTAGGTAATCCAAATATTTCAACAAATTCAGATCACATTGCAACAAGTTAAATATCATTCGTTAAATTTTTTGGAAAACTTTAAATAAATATCAGCAATGTAAATGTCAATAACCTCTCTTCTAATGATTGCAAGTCTTTTGAAAATTTTCTAATAAAAATATAAACTTTGCTAGAGGACTAGGCTTGATCGTTTTTGGAAAAATATCTACAAGGCGGAAAATTGTTGAATCGGAAAATTATTTACCTTCAGTGCAAAAGGATTTTTTAAAGTACCGTAATCCAAATAATCCAACATAAATCCAGATCGCGTTTTTGCCCGCTGTTCGTGCATGAACCAAAACACTATCACTTTCAACAAAACACTGAGACTAATTCGAAACACCTACCTGAGTCGCATCAGAATAGGGTGTCGCAGAATTTTCATCCACGAGTTGTGAACCGAACAGCGGCATACCGCTGCTGCTAGGTGTTTCCGATCGGGAACCATCCATTTGCTGTGGCACCATTATTTAACTTAATATCCAAAAAAATTCAAACTATGCTGCTGACAGAACTAACTATCAAACGCACGCACACGCGAATCAGTTCGAACACCAAAAAGTTTTCGCCGATCAGTTTATGGAAAATAAATTCAAAGTTGTCGCTAAGTATCGGAGAAAAATTCTCTAAGTCCCAAGTGCGGCTAGCACCTGAATTCGCTCTGCATAACCGAACCGAACAGATTGACCAAACTGACAGCTCTGAGCTGGATGTTTTGAGTTTGTATCTTATTCACAGCTGTTTGATCCCCACCACTAGATGTCCGGAGAGGGGATAGAATCATGCGCGAGCTTTGCACACAGCTGATCCTGATCTCGGTACTCGTGCGATTTTTTTATTTATCGAAATGCAGTTTTTTGATGACGCTTACTTTATTTGTTTTAATTTATAATTTGAATAAAATACTGTCTTTGTTTTTTTATTGTCTTTGATTATTATTTTCCGTATATATTTATAAAAAAATACAAGTCAGAAAAATGCATAAAATTTTCAAGAAAACAACGTTTTTAGTCTCAAAAATTATCTGCTGATATAGTTTGAGCAAAACAAATTTACGCGCACCACAAAAACTTCTCGATCGAAAAAGATCGCTATGCGATGCGAGGACGTCGCGTCAGGACTACAAGCTGCAGCAACCAACGAGATTTGAACGTGAACTAGCGCGTCGTCCGCCGTTTTCATATTTTACTGCTGGCTGTTGGTGCTGCAAAGTGCGCGTCCCCACTCCTTCTAGTTCGGTTAGTTCGGCGCGGTGCCGCGCTCGAACTGGGGGCGCCACTTGCCGGAGACCTCGACATTTTCCTCGCGTCGCTCGGCTAATTCGCGAAAAACATTAAAATTAACGATAATGGCGCTGCAGATTCATTCGGATGCGTTATTTTGTTTCTGCTGCTCTCTTTTTTTCAATCCTGCTGATGCTAATTGTGTTTTAATTGCGACGTTTTGGAAATTGCTCGCCAACAGTTTTTATGGGAAACAATAAAAGAACCGTTTAAAATGGAAATTTCTTCGTATGATATTAACTTATATCCTCGGAAAGTGCCTAATCACTGACCGGCAAAATCATGAATTAAATAACTAGGTCGTGTCAAAGGTACGAATAGTTCAGCAATAATGACTTCTCAATAATAAAATATATAAGCGGACAGTAGTATCCACTGACTAGTGAAAAAGAAATCTAGGAACTAAATCTAGGGTTGCAGTCGGAAGAGTTGAACTGAATTAATACACTTTGTACTTTGTTAATGGTCAAGCTTTATTCGGAATTAATTTATTCCATCCTCGGGACATCAACGTGGTAAAAAAACCTTATCTAAAATTAACGAACATATTGAATACTCCACAGTAAAATCATCACTGACCAGTCAACCACATTCTGGGTGATCATGGGGCGAATAAAATGCCTATTTATTTAATTAAAACATTGAAAATTTTCTCGAGCAATTTCAATTGCGTCTCAATTTAAAGCCCTTCCTACTGCAACCTCACTAGTTTCTAAATTTTCTTTTTAAAATATATAATATACAATAATATAGATTATAAAATCAGTAGTCAATAATATAAATATGAGGCTAGAAAAGCTGCACCCCTCTTACCAACTGGAAATTTCTTCATATTCAATGGTTGTTTTTTATATTTTGCATATAGAAAAAAAAACATAGATAACTTTTAAACACACACTATTGTTTTTAGAAGTATCCTCCTCGAAGAGAAATGCATTTTTGCATTATTTGTATTAGACATTGCAAACTAATTCTGGAAGCAGTTATTCCACTCGCTTGTTGGTACCTTTAAAATTGTTTTTTGAAGTTGCTGACTGCATCTTCTAAGGACTAGAACTTTTTACCACGCAGTTCATCCTTAATTTTAGGAAAAGTAAGACAGTCGTTACAACTTGGATAGCGAATGTATGGAGGATGGTCCAACAGTTCGATGTTTTCTTGCTTTAAAAAGTCGGAGCTGTATGTGAACTTGCATTGTCTTAATGGAGGATCATTCATTGGAGGTTAGTTTTTTGAAACTCAGCAATTACTTCTGGTAAAAAAATAGATATGTACCAATCAGCAGTAAGAGTTATTTGATATTGCATAGGAATTATTGCTACTTGGTCGCTTTTGAGACAAATATCACCACCATCTTTTTGAAAGCATTTCGAGAACGAATAATTTCATCAGTTTTGGTTTATCTCGGAACAGCCGATTGACCTTTATTTTCGGGTTAATAAGAGTAAATTCAGGATTCATCACCACCAACAATACTTTTTGAGTTTCCTGCCGTAAACCGGTGTAGAGTTTTTTGACAACAATTGACTAATTGTTTTCTGTTCTTTCGTCAACAGATCCAACGGAAAACTAATTTTTTACAGATAACTACTAACTATTTACTAGTACTGCATGTAAAATTTTTTCAATTTGGGTCTTTGAAATGTCCAATCCAAGGGGGTTCACTTCATTTTTATGATATGTCGAACTTTTTGGATCAGCTTACGTACAGCATCGACGTTTTCCTGAGCGACTGCCATTGTTGGTAGACCTGGTCATGGATTGTCTCTAACACTAATCCGCTCACGTTTAAATTCTCTATACCAACGGGAAATTGTCGACTGATATTCTTCGACTGACCTTTTTTTGAGACAACTGTCTTCGAAATTCTAAAAAAATATTGCGCTTATTATAACGTTATTATAACTTTATTTCCATTTTTCGACTGACTCCTCAATTTAAAACATTCAGTACAGGTTAAAAGAAGCGGTTTAAAACTTTTGGGCTAAGTTAACTAAAGATGATAGTTAAATTAGACATTTGGTATGTATATGTTGAAAAGCGCCTACTATGTTTCTGTATGTAAAATATAAAAGACAACTTAGAGTTAGGATTGCCAGACGTCCAGGATTTCCAGGAAATGTTCATGGTAGAATATTCGCCAAGATGTACGGCAGGCCTGATAAGCAAAGACAGGAAGACAGTCAAAGATGTAGTAGGTTAGATTAGGGCTACTATCAGGATATTGTAAGCTGAGTAGGCATTTAAAGCTAATGGGATTGACGGACAAAAATGTCAGTGCTACAGCCTGGCAAATGAGCGGTTATTTGTATTAGACAATGATAAACTATTGGCAATGAGCTATATGCAGGGTTCAGTCTTTACGTTGTTACTCTTTTTGAGAAAAGTTTGGGACTGAATAATGTCAGTAAATCAGAAGAGGGCCACAGGACCACAAAAAAGATATAAAAATAAATAATCTGATGCCTCGAACAATCTAATCCGAGATCTAATCTAAAACGCCTAATTAAATTACTAACAAACGCAAATTTAATATATGGATACGTGCTATATTAAAACCTTGTTTTACATGCGCATATTGACATCACAGGTGAAAGTACTCCGTCGGATCTTAAAAATATACACGATAGCCCACGCGGACGGTCCGCTCCGTGTAAAACAGCACTTATTGTACTGAGCGTATTAAGTGCACTTTCCATACACACAAAAATCGGCATCTAAAGCTTTTCCGACCTTGTATATAAATCAATAGTCAATAAAATTTAGGTAAATAATTAGTAAGATAATAAAATATTTACCGACAGAATCTATATAAAAAAATAGTATATCCAGATATAATCTTGATAAGTTTAAGGATCATTGCACAACGCATAGAACAAAATACCTAAAATAACAATATTGATAATTATTAAAACAAAGATTATAAATTACAAAAATAGGAGGCCCCTAGGGTTCATAAATATTATTTCACAATATTTAATAATCATTGTCCATTATTTGAAATAAAGATATTTAATAATGGGTATTATTTCTTAATTATTGAGAGAATGCAGCTACATTATCTATTATCATAAATGGAATTATTGACATTTTAGTGTATGTTAGTGTTCATTAAAAGACAAAAAAAGAGACGCAACATTAGAGGCCAATATGCAAAAATATACAAATGGTGTCGAAGATTATCCAGGGGCAAATAAAATATGGGGTAGGTTGTGACCTCCACTGCATTCGATCCACAGTAATGCACAAATTTCGAATAGTGGCAAAAAATCAAAACCCTTTAAGCATTTATTTCTAGTTCACATATATAATTTCTCTCGGATTCGCAAATTTTCAGAATTCTTTTAACCCTGACAAAACTCATTAAACCTTGATAAGTAGATAATTATTCAGCTTATAACAGTATCTATATACAGGATTTTTGGTAACTTTTTTTTTGCCCTACTGTATGACGGTTGTAATATCTCAGACTCCCTAATTCTGCCATAAGGATCATCTAAGTTTCTTTGAAACAAAGGTTCATCCTTATATAAATCGGTATATTATAATGCCAAGTTATACATATTATGTGCCCATCAACCTAAAGAAAAGTTGTGCTCATAATATAATAGAGGTTATGGCCATGGAGAATCATGTTAGGAGTCACTCTTAGAGATAAAATACGGAACGTCGCGGTTGTTTAAAGAGTGGCAAGTCTGAAATGGCAATAGATCGGACATGTGGCGTGATACGATCCAGACCGGTAGCCCCAAGAAGTTATACTATGGAGACCAAGGGGTATTACAACAAGTGTGGGCCTACCAAACAATAGATGGCTAGATGACGTTAAAGTATAGTGGCAGAAAGACAATGGATGAGATTGGCTAGCGATCGTATAGCATGGAAAAACTCAGAAGAGGCCTATATCCTCTATCCAACACTGTATGGAACTAGACTGAGAAAGAAGGTGGACAATATAGCTAACTAAACACTTTAAACTTCTATAAATTTAGGTTCAGCAATTAGGTACCAATATTACATATGTATATGATATATCTCGTGATATATTTATATTTGCGATATCCGTATTTCCTATTCTGCAAAATTCCTATCTCCAAATTTCTACTACCAATTCCTCAATTACTAATTTATCACGATTAAAATATGAGACTAGGTATATAATTTTTTATTACCAAAATAATATCAAAAAATGCCTGTGAAATAAAGTTAAGTTAATAAAGTTAGAATTATCTTTTTTTAATCCTTAAATACTTGCAAGAATTAAATTTTAAATGACCTCATTTTAACCTTGTTGCCATCTTGTCTACGAAAAACAATTTTATAAAACAATAGACACTCAGAGAGACAATTATCATCAATCCTAAACAAATTGCTATACTCTTATCTTTAAATGTATCATGACGTCATTATATTATATGATAAGAATGTCAAAAAACTTTCTAAACCTTAAAATATTTTTGGATATAAAGTAGCGATAAGGAGACAATAAAAGCAGATTAATTATATTTATAAATAAACGTGGGTAAATTACAGCGGATGCCATGATAAAAATTTCTATTAATTTAAATCTAGTTAAGGGGTGTTTCAGGGGTGTGGGTAAAAGAAGTATATATGTACTACCAAAATATAATTTTACTGCCAAGCGACTGCCAATGACAGCGAAGAAGATTGCCTTGTTCTGCCATAAAATTATAGTCGACTGATGCCAACGACTGCCAGTGACTACCAAAAAAATGTACATGTAATTCCAACAGTGAGACATCCTCGGAGACATCCCTTGCATGTAGCAATCAAGTTTGTTTGCCTCATGAATATTTCTTCATTATCTTTTTTTTTTATTTTGTGGGGAAAAATCTGCAAACCAGAGACCATATGTGGTATTGTCGAGATGGTTGAGGTACCTCACCGACTAAAAAACCTTCACAAGCCGCTTTGAATATCTCTCCGAGGAACTACCTTTCGGCATTACTTTTCGAGGAGGCGGTTTTACTGCGATGTTTTAGTTACTTCGTCTAGCTTCTTTCTCTTTTGCATGTATTAGTGTCTCCATAAAAGTGTGAACACTATTGCAATTTTCTGGGGATCGAATCATCACTGGAACTAGATCGGAAATCTTAATTTTTAGGACTCTTAGTTTTTCGTATAGAACTCTTCGTTCAGCTGTCCATCGGTTACATTCCAAAAGGGTATGCTCCACCGTATCAGCATCGGAGTCGCCATAGAGACATCTCGGGCTATCAGCTAACTTTATTTTATATAAACTACAACCTGAAACAACCGTGACCAGAAAGGAATTGACTCATGGCATAGCTCATTTATCCATATTCTCTATTTATCCAACACTCTAGGTTCTTTATAAGTGTTCTAGTCCATTTACCTTTCCCATTTCTGTTTTCACTCCATCTTTTACACCATATTTCCAGAACTCTATTTCTAACTACTATTTCTACTTTCTGACGCTGTTCTTCCTGAATGCTCTTGCCTTTCCATTCTTTCTTCAATTACTATGTCTATCGGGGCCATTGAGCTCAAAACTTGTGCAGCCTCCGCAGATATTGTCCTGTATCCACGACATACTCTTATGGCCAATCTTCGTTGCACTGCAAGAAGTTTCTCTCTATGACTCCGAACTTTGCAAGTTTCTCCCTAAATTTCGGATCTAAACAGAATTGTAGATGCTTGTACAGCAGCTAGCACTCGGCGTTTCGTTTGGTCGACCCAAGGTAGACCAGTTTTGCATAATTCTGGATAACATGGCCCCCTGTTTTATTGCTTTCAAATCTGTATGGCGGATATGCTCAAAGAAAAGCCTCCCCCGCTTGGAAAACAATCCCCAAATATTTTGTTTTCTTTGGTACAATTATATTTTGTTTCACATGAAAACGTACACTGCGTGATTTTCGGTTACCAACCAAAATACCTGCCTCCGTTTTGTGCGGCGCTATTTCTAGCCCCACCTCATCCATCCATGAGCACACCTGCTCCGATGCTCTTTCCGCAGTTCTAACGAGATCTTCGGTATATTTAGCCTTTACCATCAGCGCAACATCATCTTTAGATACTTTAACTTTTGCATCCTCTACAATAACGCATCTTTCGCTTAGATAAGCTTTTTTATTTTCCATTAAATATAAACTTATTTTCCAATGATATGTAGGGTCATTGATTATATTTTCCCAGTTTGCCGAGTTGAAGGCATTTTTTACATCCAAGGTAATCAACATAAAGATATCGCTGTTTGACGAGCTAATATTCTTTAGTCCTCTAATTGTATGAAACACTTTTTTAAGAGGATCGATTGTACTGAATTTTTTTCGTATCCCGTACTGCCTCTCATTTATTTTTATTATTTTATTCCTTTTTCATTATCATTAATATAATAAATAGTTATGTATAAATATATGTTTTAATTCAGAAATAAATTATATATAAATTTTTATTCCTAATCTATAAAATATTTGCAATAAAATTAAAAAATATATAAATTGATGGAACATCAAATTGGCAACTTTAAAATTTAGTTTATTAAAAGAAAATTAGTTGTATTTAAAGAAAAAATTAGAAAATTAATTGAAATGTACTGTATTTTCAAATCCATGAATTTGTATACATTTTAGTTCCATCCATCCCAACATTTTAATTTTGAATGGTGATGTAAAATTACCAGTAATTTAAAAATCGGTAATATTACCGGTATTATTACGTAATATTACGGTAACATTGATAATTTATAAAAAAAACAGCTTATTAAATAATAAGTAATAATATATAAACCTAAACAGTAAAAACATTACAAAAAAAAGGCAAGAACGTATTATATACAGGGTGTTTCAAAACAAATGCGAAAAACTTCAGGGGGTGATTCCTTGTTCAAAATAAAGGGTAGTTTGCTTCATAAACGTTGGGTCAAAAGTCAACCATTAGGGAGATATTGCGGTACAAAGATGGCGAAAAAATAATGTTTTTATTTTTTATCTTGAAAACGAAAAGAGATAGGTTGGTTACCTCTATCAATTTGTGCCATCCAGTTCTGTGCCAGGGTCTTATCAAACACGTACCACTTGATATTAGAACTTATCTTCATTTTTGATAAACTGTCGATTTGAAATTACCAAAAAATAAAGCATTACATGTCAGACAAAAACATTTTCGGATAAAGAATCTATGGGCGCTGTAATTTTTTAGAAAAATCTAGTCGGCAGCTGCTACTTTTACGATGTCTTGCATTATTATTTTATTTGACATTACTCTACTGCAATACGTTATTATCTAGATGATTATTATTATCGTTATTATCACTAGATTCTTACTCTAAAAATGTTTTTTGTCCTGACATGTAATGCTTTACATTTTATTTTTTAATTTCCAATCGGTGAGTTTTATCAAAAAAACACAAGAAGTAAAAAAGTTTCTAAACAAACTAAACTATCCGAATTAAAGCATTTGCATGTGTTTGATAAGATTTTTCGTTAAATTTCGTTAACAAGAATGATAGCGGTAGTTTATTTCAACCCCTTCCACTCATTTTAAAAAAGTAAAAAAATTACCTGAAAGTGTGTTTTTATAACAGTAATGCTTCCATAATATTTCATTAGTCTATCTCCTTTCGTTTTCAAGATAAAAAATAAAAACATTATTTTTCCGCCATCTTTGTACCGCGATATCTCCCTAATGCTTGACTTTTGACCCAACGTTTATAAAACAAACTACCCTTTATTTTGAACAAGGAATCACCCCCTTAAGTTTTTCGCATTTGTTTTGAAACACCCTGTATAAATTAGTCCTAGAGGCTTATGTTTGTGCTTATGTTATAGTACGTAATAGAGAAAATGGTAAATTATGCCCAATCTTGGCATATGCTTCTTTCTCTTTCATTAGTTGAGTCAAATCTATTACTTTGAACTTGAATGATGCCTTGCAATTTCATAGATGAACTCCGTTGCAATTAAATTTACAGCTTAGCAGGTCTTAGATAGTTACTTTTCCGTTTTTCCAGAATTGCACACATATTCATGTTTTCCGACCAAGCAACGGATAAATCTGATATTTTGCTACATAATATAGACCTTATTTCAAAATTTAAAAAAAGCAGGTAAAGACTTTTGATATTGTTGGCACGTTATATAGCTTCAAAAATCGTTACCAACTTAGAGATTGGCTTAAGCAAGTCATAAGTTACTTGTATTTGTAGCCAAAATTCGTTTCGAAGCTTACTGTACCCTGTGTGTTTGGTGAAAGAACATCAGAAACATCTGGGCAATCATCAACTGCTAAGCTTCTTAATGAGTGTTTAGATTTAGTGTCCAAAAAGCTTTTTAGACAAGAAACAAATCAGCCCTATCTTGTTTTCACCAAAAAAAGGAAAAGACTAGAGTGGGAAAAAAGCAATATTTCCAATGTTTCCGATCTTGCAGTAATATTACGTAGTATTACCAAAATTACCGGTAATATTACCCTTTACATCACTAATTCTGAATATACTATCTCGTTGAATTTGAAAGTGTTTTTGGTGTTTTGTTGAGGCAAGATTAAATCGATAAATACATATTTTCTTATAACATGAAGGTATAATTAAAGCTAATTTGTTACAATTTTTACGTTAGCGCAAATAATCCTATCTGTCAGTATTAGATATCACCATAGATATATAGGCTGATAGAAATTAGGTGTATAATTAAGGTAATTGGGGGAATATAGGAAATTAAACATTTTCGGTATCTCCGGAACAAATCTAAGAATAAATTATAATATCGTGCATTAGAAAAAAAAACATTTCGTTGTGTATTCCCCAAATATGCCATATGATAGTAACTGAAAGCACCATAATTATGATAAAGTTTCATCAAATTTTAACCCTTTCACGTCTACTAAAATAAATAAATGTTGGATATTGGATCGGTTGAATACAAATCTTATAATTTTCCTTTACATTGAATTGACGAATTTTGTCCATTTCGCTGTTAGTAAAATTCAATTTTACAAATTAAGAATTGATGATGGCTGAGTCACCAAAGATAAATATAGAAAGTAGGTTTGTTAGTAATGACAAGTATGGACATGATTTTTTCTTTTAATTAGTTGATATTGCGAATTACGTAGGAAAAAACTAGATAAATTAAATAAATAAAGATAATGTTTAGATAAGTGGAGATCATAGTTCAGGTCTTAATACAACAACCAGATTCAACCATTATTTCCGGAAAACTAGTTACGTATGTAGAAAATTGTGGGTATTTTGGAAGACTCAAAAGAAAACAGTTATGTTTTTTTGCGACATTTCGCGACTTTATTGTTGCTTCTTCAGGCACTAAAGCATATAGTAATCCAACAATTATTGTTTGTTTTTCCAATAATTAGTATGTAGGCTTAAGGCACCAAATGACTACCAATTTACTGTTATCAAGGCCAAGCAGCAAGAGACGTTGCTGCGCTACAGCTCGAAGATTGTGGCCAGTGATCGATTGCAAAAAGACAAAACATCTACTAGAAAAAGAATCTAGTATGCATAATTGAAGGTGTCATAGCTGGAAACTGCCCAACGGGGGTAAACCTCGTGAGATGGAAGATTTCCAACGACGCGACGACTACTAACTGTAGAGAATGCAGAGAGGAAGAAGAAACCATAAAGAATCTGCTGTGCCGCCGTCCGGCACTGGGAAACCAACGCTTTAAAACTTTAGGGCACGGTTTTTTGGAGGGACTTGAGGAAACCGCACAAGCCAACATCAGCGACATCGGGAACTTTGCTTGAGGAAAGAGCTGGAAGTGCTTTAACGCAAAGAAAGAATGATATGAAGTTTGGTACAATAACACAGGGGTACCACAATGGGCCCAAGGCCTCCGAGTATGGGACCAAACAGGATATTAAACCCCAGTATTCTAACCTAAGCTAAGGTACCAAATTAAAGAATCTTAATTTATTAAAAATACAAATATCCCGTCCACTCAAATGTATCTATTGTCTTTAATATTACACGCTTATGTCTTTTTTGTAATTCGTGAAATCAGAAGTTCCAATCCAATGCTGATCAGATTGATACTTTTGATTTCACTGCAATTGCAAGCTACAGGTGCACAAATTACATGTGCACATTGGCCAGCTTAAGTGTATGCACCTGCAAGGTGGAAGCGAGTGAGGCGTAACAATCCGAGAATGGCGGGAAACAAAGAGGTACACGGGTACACTAAGGTACACTAATACACGAGGGGTGAACAGCTGCAGTAGGTAGGTGTACATTCGAAAGGAAGTACGCAAGAATTCCTAGGAAGTACCAGGAAGTATATAGGATTTCCTAAGGAGTATGTGGATGTCCCAGGAGGTATACAGGATTTCCCAGGAAGTATACAGGATTTCCCAGGATTTATGATGGAATTCCAGAAAGTATGGAGGAGATCTAGAATGAGATAGCTCGAAAAAATAAGCATCAAATCACGAATATTGATTAAAATCACCTCGTTTTGATTAAAATCACACAATAGGCTCAGTGCATAACAAATAAATTTGAATTAAAACATTTACAGCTTCATTCAGAACCTCGCAATTAGTGGAATAAATTAGTGGTTTCAATTAGACTTTTTTACACAAAAAAAGATCTATCGGAAATATAAGCGATTAAAAAATTCATGTTTTTACTGCAAACACGTTGTTTTCCTGTCATTATTTAATGACGGCGCGTCTGTGGGTTCTAAAATCAAAGTTGACATAGACATTTCTTTAATAATAACTGATAATAATGACATATAACAGATGCCATTAATATCCAGTGACGTCATAATGCTTCCTGCGCTTTTCTTTCTGTTTGAGTAGTTAGGCAATTAGCGAAGATTACAATATTTGGTGTATTGCTCGGTGTATTGTTTTTTTTATACAAAAACACATAAATTAAGAAGCATATTATCTGAAAGCAAAATAACACTGAACTCTCGACTGAACTGCTACGGACTAGGACTGATTTAAAATTGGAAGAGAAAATGAATTTTTAGGCAGCTCAAAAAATATGTTCCATTGAAGTCCTTGAATTATTTAATACTGTTGCTGAGGGTGCAGGAACCAAAGAATAAATAAAATAACAATAAATTTAAGAATGATGAATTTAGTTATGTTCCTATTTGGAAGAAAATTTGGATTTAAAAAGAAGGTTATATAATTTATGGTGCTGTGTGTTTTTTTTACGTATTTGGCGTAAATGGCCAATGATGAATAATAAGAAAATTGGAGAACATTTTATTTCAAGTAACTGTTACACATGCATCGAGTTGAACGCTCATGCTCTGATTAATTTAATTATATATTTTCGAGAAAATCCAAAAATCACAGAGGATATGTTCCCTCCTTTGCTTTTTAGCAGTCAAAGCTGTGAGAAAATATTCCGAGCTACAAGGTCCATGACAACAACGCAATCTACGGTAGTAAATTATAGTATTGTAACGAAGTTACTATTTTTTTTTATATATTTAATTAACTTTTTCAATTTTCCGCCGATTACGAATTTTATTTAGTTAATTTATCTTTCTACTCTTCCATACATTAGAAAATTTTGATTCTTTTTCGAGAAGATAGTACTTTTTATATAAAATTTTATTTGTTGAATTAACATACGAACCGAACTCATTAATTAGCTTAAAACGCGCTAATTAATTATGTTGAACGCATTCCATGCGCTCGATACAACCCGCTTGGTACCGCTAGTACTAGATTGGCGTATCGAGACGCGCACCACCACGACGGTTTTCAACTGGAGGGAAGGACTGGGGAAAATAAGAAGCGACGCGCTAGCCAGAGAAGAGGAGTTCCTACACCACCACCACCGACAGTACTAGCACCAGCTCCAGCACCAGCACCAGCAGTCACAGTCGCCGCAGTCCGCCCCGCAGAAGCCAGCACCGAGACACCGCCGCCGCCTAGCAGTTGGGAAGCCTGCCCGTCCTCCGTTTTTATTGAATTCACCGTCGCTCCGAAACCGCCCGCAAGGTAACCTTCAGGATTAGTTTGGTATAGTATTGAGTATCGAGAATTCATTGTTTATTTGGTTTTTAATATTTTTTTTTATTTTTTTCAGAAAGGAATCCTGTACCGTGGCAAGGTCTAAATAGTTTAGAATAAATTCCAAAAGTAAAAAAAATATATATTTTAAATATCAATAGTAAATCTGTAAAATCAAACACGCTTGAGTTATCAATAGGGACTTGGAAAAGCAAGTAAACTATGAGTGTGATAAATCCCGGTAGTTTGCTTCAAACTCTAAATTCCTTATTGATAATTTAATTAAAAATCATTAGGTCAGCTCTTAGATTTTTTTTTAATCACTTAAAACATATTTGGGTTGTTAATGAGGACTAGGTAAAATAAGTAAGTTGTGAGTGCGAAAAATCCCGGCAAGTTGCTTCGAATTCCAGGTTCCTCATTGACTACTCAGATAAACTGTCTTTAGTTTTTTTTCTTTCCGAAAACCACCCGCAGTAAATCATTCTATCAGTTCTATTAATAAATAAGCGGCATATCTCTAGTGAAGATTAGGAACGTGGGAAATTTGTGAGTGCGATAAATCCCGGCAGGTTTCTTATACACCGATCCCTTCACTATAGATATTCTCGCTGAACTCTTATAGTTTTCCGCATTTCCTTTCCTTCGTAATTTAATTTTTTTTTATTTCTTTCCGTTGCCTTATTTAGACCTTAGCCCCGCCGTACTTTTAATGTTAAATAAATATTTTTTTTTAGTATTTTCTTATTCTCACCGACATACTTTTAAAAATAAATAGAATAATTATTAGAACAATTTCTTGTTAACTCCGAAACATTTTTAATTCAATTAAATAGGAATTACAACATTTTCTTATTGACACACCCGTATACGTTTAATATTTGACTAAAACATTGAATAGAATATTTTCAATTCTTTACACTATCACCCTCAAATAAATTTTGTATTCCTTTTTCTTTTTTGAATTTATTAGCAAAGTGCTAACATTAATATTTTTTTATTTAAGAATAAATTATTTTATTTTTTTTATTATTAACTTGGGAGTGCCGTCCTTCCCCTAACAGTCTCTAGTTTTTATTAATATTCTTTTCTGTGTAGATTTGCTCCAACCCGGTGACGAGACTCTCCGCATCGGAGCCAATTTAAGCGCTAGGTGTCTCAACTAGCCACCTACACATCGCCTTGCCTTCCGCCCAGATTTAACTTGTAAATAGTTTTGGGAAAACACGACCTGCTCTTTATTTTATAACTACAGACTATTGTTTAATTTATTTTTCCCCACCTCTGAGCTAAAAGAACTGCAACACTGCCATACATCTCCACTGTTTAAAAGCTACCCGAACCGGCACTAGTGGGCCTCTAACCACTTATTAACTAGAGGTGGCGCCCGAGATCTTCTAAAAGCAACAATACAAGAAACTTAAGCGTCAGCAACGCAACTCAGAAAGAGCTTCGTTGCAAATTTGGCGCTCGAGCACAGGGACAGGTTACGTAATTATTAGCAGTGGAGAAAACAGTTCTTTGAGAGCCAGAGATGGAGAAAAGTGAAGGGGAACGAAAGGCAAAGGAGCCTATGGACAAACCGGCTACCTCCCAGACAAAGGAGACAGTAGATATAGTACCGCCAGCCGAAACTGACAAAAGGACAGGGTGGATATACCTGTTGAGTAAGTCCGAGTTAGCCGCTCAAATGCAGAGATTTGGCTTGGATAGTCATGGTACAGTAGACGAGATGCGAATTTATCCGGGAAAGGAAAACTACCTAACCGTCCGCAGATCCTTTCGTATTTCCAACAAGGGAGAGAAGCCTCTTCGTCCCGAGTCTGACCATGATTCCAACTCAAACGACGGCCACCGTTACTACCACCCTATCCACAAGCATTATGACGTCTTCAGCGATAGGATATCAGGCAGGAAACAGGAATGTATTTGAACAATGCCAAAGTCCTCCGCCTGTCACTTCGAGACAAGCATCCTGTGATCCGCCACTTAAAGTTTACAAGTGGAATGTCACTTTTGATGGACGGCGTGATCCCGTGACATTTCTAGAAAAGAATAGAAGAGATCTGCACGGCACAGGGGAATAGCCATGGACAGATTAGTACCACATTTACCGGAACTATTGCGAGGAAACGCCGCTTTGTGGTTTCGCAATATCCAGAACTCACTGTTTTACTTGGGGAAGATTTTTCTACGCATTTCCGATCATTCTATTTTCCAGTCCAATTGCCAGAAGACGACAACGACCGAACGAATCAGTAACTGAGTACATTACTGACCTTCAAACTTTGATCCGAAGACATGGCAATAATAGACCCACTCAAGAACAACAGTGGTTGTACAGAAATTTATTACCGGAATACAGGCAGTACATACGCCAAAACGATTTTTAGGACGTACTTTCATTTTCAAAATGGCTAAAGAATATGAACTACTTGAAAAGGAGTTACGAGGATCATTGACTAGTACAGAGAGTCGATATCAGGAAGTACCGAGATATAGACAAGAACCGAGATATCAACAAGAACAGAGATATCGCCAAGAACCGATACAACATCAAGAACCGAGATATCAACAAGAACAAAAGATATCGTCAAGAACCGATACAACATCAAGAGCAAAGATATCGACGACCGACAGAAGTAACCTTTCCCACATCCGAAGAACTTAACCGAAGCCGACGGGAACTGATAAACAAAAATCGAGAAATGGCAGATGCCAACAGAAATCGCCAAGATTCATCTGATAAATATCAAAAGAAATCGACCGCTCAGAACCGAGAAATTCAAAACAATCAAGCATCAACTTATCAAAACCGAAATAACACCCGCACAACGACATCTCCACCGCCGATCAAACGAAATAACGACCGTCGAGACTTATCACCAGGCCAAGAACCGAGTCGTAACCGCCAACCTGTAGCAAACACATCTAAACAAGAGACAATTCAGAGGGATAGATCGGAGACCCAGTGCTGGCGGTGTGGCAAATTCGGTCACACGCGCAGCCAATGCACCGGGCCGGCTAAATTATTCTGTTCACGATGCGGACGGCCAGGGGTGATGTCACGTGAATGCAATTTACGAATTCGGAAAACTCCAACCGCGCTGGCCTGAACCGAGGCGCACCCAGCGCATAATTGAAGCCTCGCACCTAGACACAACCAATAAAAATCACGGACCGACGATAGCTGTTAGATTTCAAAACACGGATTTTACTGCCTTAATTGAAACCGGAGCAATGAATTCTTATTTTGGAAAGAAAGTACTTTCAATTTGTGAACAATCCAAAGGAATCCTTGTTCAACCGACCGTCAAGAGTGCTAAGTTAGCAAACGGTACTTTAGAAACTATACAGAGAGCATACCGTATCAGTCTGAAAATTGGACAGTCAAGATTAGTAGATATTTTCAATTATTTACCGCAATTAGCCTATGACATGATAATAGGAATGGATATTTTGAGTCGTCATCCATTCAGACTAGATCTCCAGAGAAACGAAGTATATTTAAACGAAGAGCTTTTGGATAAGCCATCTCGAGCTGAACTGGTTAACAATCTGGATACAGTTGACCGTGAGGAGACTTTGACACTGACCGCAGAACAAGAAAATCGTCTTCAGAGATTTTTGAAAGAGGAATTATCACAGTTTGAATTAATACAGGGTACTACACCGTTAATTCAACACGAAATCAAACTGATTGATTGTGAACCGATCAAACAGAGATACCGCCCGCAGAATCCGAAAATGCAAGAAATTATCAACACCGAGCTAGAAAGAATGCTGACCGAAGACATAATAGAACCATCTGATAGTCCTTGGAGTTCACCGATAGTTATGGTAAGGAAGAAGGATGGAAAGTATCGATTCTGTGTAGACTTCCAAAAGGTCAATGCTGTGACCAAGAAGGATGCTTATCCTCTTCCTTACATCAATGCTATTTTAGACAAACTTCGCAGAGCACGTTACATTTCTAGTATAGATCTTAGACAAGGATATTGGCAAGTACCTTTAACTCCGGAGAGCAGAGCTATCACAGCTTTCACCGTTCCATCAAAGTTGTTTCAGTTCAAAGTTATGCCTTTTGGACTTCATTCTGCCGCAACTACTTTTCAACGACTTATGGATCGCATTATAGGACCAGAACTAGAACACCTTCGAACAACACTTAGATAATTTACAAAGAAGTGTTCCGCCGCCTGAGACGAGCCAATCTCAAAGTTAATCCAGAGAAAATGTCAATTTGGAAGAAGATCGTTACGATATCTGGGACATTTAGTAACCGCCAATGGGATACAGACCGATCCGGACAAGATATCAGCTATACAAGATCTACCCCCGAATAACGTCCGGAGTTTAAGACGATTTTTGGGAATATGTTCTTGGTATAGGCGTTTTGTGCCAGGATTTTCTCAGATAGCGTTACCACTGAACCGACTTCTAAAGAAAGGCATCCGCTGGCATTGGAATGAAGAGCAACAGAAAGCTTTCAGTTGTCTTAAAGAACATCTCATTAAAGCTCCTGTTCTGACTTGCCCAAACTTTGAGAAACCGTTTACCTTACAAACAGACGCAAGTGATGCTGGACTAGGTGCCGCCCTCATTCAACACCACACCGACGGAGATCATATTATTGCGTACGCTAGCAGGACACTCTCGCCTCCAGAGAAGAATTATTCAGTCACAGAAAAGGAATGCCTTGCAATTGTCTGGGGAATCGAGAAAATGCGACCCTATCTTGAAGGTAGCCGATTCACCGTAGTCACCGATCATCAATCTCTACGATGGTTACATTCTTTGAAGAATCCAAGTGGAAGACTAGCACGGTGGAGTGTGTTTCTTCAACAATATGACGTCGAGATAAGATACCGTAAAGGAGTTTTGAATAAAGTAGCAGACGCTTTATCCAGAGATCCGATTCCGACCGAATACACAGAATTTTCAGCCGAAACACTGTTCGCCGTAGATGAAGACAAACAATGTCCGTGGTATTCAAGTAAAATGGCAGAAGTCACATCAAGACCGGATATGTATCCAGACTATCGTATTCAAAACAACCGATTATATCGACATTTCTTTGACTACAGCGATATGAAGGAGAACCCGTCAACCGATCCGTGGAAACTCTGTGTTCCAAAAGCAGCTCGTTTGACTGTACTTAGGGAAAACCATGACGAACCGACTGCTGGACATCTAGGAATTGCAAAGACTATAACTCGGATTGCTACTCAATATTACTGGCCAGGCATGTTCAGAGATATTACGCAGTATGTACGAAAATGTGTCTCATGTCAACAGTTTAAAACCTCTCAACAACAAACACCAGGAAAAATGCAACCGCCGAAAATCAACGCTCCTTGGAAAAGTATTAGTATCGACCTGGTAGGCCCGCTTCCAAGATCAGCAAAAGGATGTAATTTTATTGTAGTTATTCAAGACCGTTTTACAAAATGGATTCACTGCCGCGCTATTCGAAAAGCCACCGCCCGTAGTATAAATCAGATTGTTTATGAAGACATATTGATGAAGTTTGGATGTCCCGAGATACTCATTTCTGATAATGGTACTCAATTTACCGGGCATCTGTTCAAAGAACTTCTGAAGGAATATAACATTCAGCATCACCTGACTACACCGTACACCCCGCAAGCAAACCCTGTAGAACGAGCAAACAAAACCATAAAGACTATGGTATCTCAGTTTTGTGAAAAGGATCAGAAGAAGTGGGATGTTTATCTGCAAGACCTAACGTTTGCATTTAACACTTCTAAAAGTGAGTCAACCGGTTTCACTCCGGCGTTTTTAAATTTTGGCCGCGAACTGGACCTACCTAAATCCCTCAGAAGAACCGAACAACCGCCGCCAGACACCGTAACTATCGAACCGACTATGAAAGACATAACCGCTACCACTCAGAGATTGCAGCAACTCAGAGAGACATACGAGTTAGTTCATTTAAACTTGTCTAGAGCGGTTAACACGCAAAGTCATCACTATAATTTACGTCGACGCGACTGGAAATGCAAAATAGGTGACCACGTTATGAAGAAGGAACATCACCTATCTTCGGCAATAAAAGGATTTTCCGCTAAATTGGCTCCTAAGTATTCTGGACCTTATCGCGTGATTAGAGTTCTCTCACCGGTAACGTATGACATCAATGCTCCTATCTGGTAAAAAAGATAAACCGGGTACACGTTAAGGATTTAAAACCGCTTTTTTAATCTTTATTTTCAGCATGCCAAAAACAAACC